CAGCCCAGACACTGAGGTCCAGCTCCGAGGGCCTTCTGGCGGTTCCCCCACTGCAAGAAGGGAACCAGGCAGAGGGCCTTCTCAGTAGTGCCACCCGCCCTGTAGAACACCCTCCCGTCAGAAGTCAAGGAAGTAAACAACTATCTGACTTTTAGAATACAGTGGTACCTCGGATTAAGTACTTAATTCGTTCCGGAGGTCCGTTCTTAACCTGAAACTGTTCTTAACCTGAAGCACCACTTTAGCTAATGGGGCCTCCTCCTGCTGCCGCGCCGCTGGAGCACAATTTCTGTTCTTATCCTGAAGCAAAGTTCTTAACCCAAGGTAATATTTCTGGGTTAGCGGAGTCTGTAACCTGAAGCGTATGTAACCTGAAGCGTATGTAACCCGAGGTACCACTGTACATCTGAGGGCAGCCCAGTATTGGGAAATTTTTATTCACTGATGATTTACAATTTATTATATATGCTGTAAGCCGCCCAGAGTGGCTGGGGAAGCCCGGCCAGATGGGCGAGGTATAAATAATAAAATTTTTGTTGTTAAAAACAAAGTTCCATCCACAAATAATATACAGTGGTACCTCTGGTTGCAAACGGGATCCGTTCCAGAGGCCCGTTTGCAACACGAAAAGAGCGCAACCTGCAGTGGCATGCCTGCGCATGCACGGGTTGCAATTCGCCGCTTCTGCACATGCGCGCCACGTCATTTTGCGCGTCTGCGCATGCGTGAGCGGCGAAACCCAGAAGTAACCCTTTCCGGTACTTCTGGGTCGCCGCGGGACGTAACCTGAAAGAACGTAACATGAAGCGGACTTAACATGAGGTATGACCGTAGTGCTTTCTGAGATTAAGCAGACAGGCGTATGACTAGAACCCAGGATCCTCCAACAAATCGAAGGGTGGCGGAGTCCAAGAAGCGAAAAGGAAGGACTTTCTTCACACAGAATGTGGTTAAAACTATGGAGCGATGGGCAGCACCGCAGAGAGCTTAAAGAGAGAGTTAAGACAAACAAGATACACCACTAGGGTGGTGAATGTGCTACACAGGTCGGATTACAGAGTCATTCTGCAACAGAGCACCCAGCGCTGACAGAGGACAACAGTTTGCTCCTGCCATAGGTCTGGACCGATAATTTGTGAGGAGCTTGTGAAATTAGGCCAAGGGCCGCCATGTGATTAAGCCGGGGGTCCACAGGTTGCCCACCGTGGCTTCAGGCGTCGCCCAAATACCACAAAGAAAGGGATAAAATTAAGCTGGTCATACACGCAGATTAGATGTGGCTCTCCCAAGGCTTCGCTGGAAGGGCAGGAGATTGCAGAGTCCTAGCGCCAGAGGTTGAGCCTCTATGCGCTGGAAGACTGGCTGGTTGCTCCTGAGCCACAGCCCTTCCACAAGCCTGTCTTTTGTAGCCACAACGGAAATAAACTTCCATTTTAAATAAACAAATAAGGTAGAAGCGGACGTTCTCGCAACCGTGACTTTTTCATCCGGCACCGAATTCCACGCTGATGCAGCGCAAATGGCAAAATACACACAACCCCTGTGCACTATTTTTTTTTCACAGAGAGGCTCTTACTTCCGAAAGACTGAAAAAAGGAGGGGGAAAGTGAAAAGGCCTCTCTCTCCTCCTGCTCCAAGCAGTAATTATGAATCAGTTATCACTACACCGAGTAACAGGCCCACAAGACTCTACAAATACTTATTTTCTGGCACAACCTGTAGGGGGAAAATTAGGAGAAAACGCAGTAAGACTTCAAACAGCCTCTTCCTGGTATTTTAAAAATTAATGAAGTGTTGGGAGTAGTTTAATATGCAATGAGTCATGTTTTTTAAGAGAGGCAATAATGCAGAACAGTATTTCAATCTTGGCTAAGTCACAGTACGCAAGCATAAAGTAATATAGGGAAGGGGTTGTATTCTGCTGGAGAAAGCAACAGGCGAGAAATCAAACTATTAAAAAAAAAGAGAGAGAGCAGAAGAATGCTACAAGGAAGGACTGGAAAGTTCTCAGTCTTGTGTCCAAACCCACACACTGCTTAGAATGAGAATTTCTCAGCCACCCACACTATTAGCCTTGCTGTACTGGGGAACCCAAATCAGAGGTCTCTTCTGAACAGTAGCTGTGTGTTATGGAAAGCAGAACTCTATGCAGCTGGCTCAGAACTCCTTGAATACAGTTTGAATATCTGCACGGGGCTTATGCTACACTTAAGTGGGGGGCAGATGACGATGATGACCTTGTCATCATTTAGGTTTTTCGGCGCAGGCGCCTGAAATTAAGCAATGGGAGTTGAATGGGACTTGCATCCAAGAGCCTAGGTCAGGCTTCCTCAACCTCGGCCTTCCAAATGTTTTGAGACTACAATGCCCATCATCCCTGACCACTGGTCCTGCTAGCTAGGGATCATGGGAGTTGTAGGCCAAAAACATCTGGAGGGCTGAGGTTGAGGAAGCCTGGCCTAGGTACATAGGACAGGACTTTGATTTCTGTTTAATTCCCTGAATCAGAAGTGCATCTCATAGTAATTAAACAGGGAAATGAGAGAGGCCAAAACTTGTCCCTCCAGAAGCTGCGGAACTGATGGGACTCTCATGCAAAGATAAAAAACATAAAGTCTCCCATATGCTTGCAAGAACCATCAGTTTGCCAACATTGGCCTTCTCCCACACCCCAGTTCTGTAATTTACTTTGTGTACAGTGGTACCCCGCAAGACGAATGCCTCGCAAGACGGAAAACCCGCAAGACGAAAGGGTTTTCTGTTTTGGAGGCGCTTCGCAAGACGAATTTCCCTATGGGCTTGCATCGCAAGACGAAAGCCTATAGGGAAATGCTGGCGGTCGGGAGCAAAGACTTTCGCCCACAGCCGGCCTTCAGAAGAGGACCTCTTCTGAAGGCCGGCGGGGGGCAAAAGTCTTTGCTCCCCCCCGCCTGCCTTCCCCCCGCCTGCCCTGGGCGATCTTAAAATGCTGGCGGGCGGGAGCGAAGCGTTCGCTGCCGACCCCCAGCATTTTAAAATCTCCCTGTGTCCCGGGGAGGTTTTAAAATGCTGGGGGTCGGGAGCGAAGCGCTGCCGACCCCCTGCATTTTAAAATCTCCCCGTGTCCCGGGAAGGTTTTAAAATGCTGGGGGTCGGCAGCCCGACCCCCAGCATTTTAAAATCTTCCCGGGACACGGGGAGATTTTAAAATGCTGGGGGTCGGCAGCGCTTCGCTCCCGACCCCCAGCATTTTAAAACGCTGTTCCGAAGGGGGGGGTGGGGACACCTGCCCCAGCCGCCCCACTTCGGAAAGCTGTTCCGAAGTGGGGAGGGGGGGCGGGGACACCTGCCCCAGCCGCCCCACTTCGGAAAGCTGTTCCGAAGCGGGGAGGGGGGGCGGGGACATCTGCCCCAGCCGCCCCACTTCGGAAAGCTGTTCCGAAGCGGGGAGGGGGGGCGGGGACATCTGCCCCAGCCCCCCACTTCGGAAAGCTGTTCCGAAGCGGGGAGGGGGGGCGGGGACACCTGCCCCAGCCGCCCCACTTCGGAAAGCTGTTCCGAAGCGGGGAGGGGGGCGGGGACACCTGCCCCAGTCGCCCCACTTCGGAAAGCTGTTCCGAAGCGGGGAGGGGGGGCGGGGACATCTGCCCCAGCCGCCCCACTTCGGAAAGCTGTTCCGAAGCGGGGAGGGGGGGCGGGGACATCTGCCCCAGCCGCCCCACTTCGGAAAGCTGTTCCGAAGCGGGGAGGGGGGGCGGGGACATCTGCCCCAGCCGCCCCACTTCGGAAAGCAGTTCCGAAGTGGGGAGGGGGGGCGGGGACATCTGCCCCAGCCGCCCCACTTCGGAAAGCAGTTCCGAAGCGGGGAGGGGAGGCGGGGACATCTGCCCCAGCCCCCCACTTCGGAAAGCTGTTCCGAAGTGGGGAGGGGGGGCGGGGACATCTGCCCCAGCCGCCCCACTTCGGAAAGCTGTTCCGAAGCGGGGCGGGGGGCGGGAACACCTTCTGAAGGCGGGCAGGGGGCGAAAGTCTTTGTCCCCCCTGCCTGCCTTCCCAGGGGCTTTTAAATCGCCCCGGACAGCGGAGAAGTCCTCCGCTGTCCCAGGGTTTTTAAAAATGCTGGGGGTGGGAAGAAAAGCCCTTGTTCCCCCCCCCCAGCCTTCAGAAGAGGTCCGGGGACAGACTGTCCCCGGACCTGGTCTGAAGGCGGTTTCCCTAGGAACGCATTAATTGATTTTCAATGCATTCCTATGGGAAACTGTGCATCGCAAGACGAAAAAACCGCAAGACGAAGAGACTTGCGGAACGAATTAATTTCGTCTTGCGAGGCACCACTGTATGTGTTTTGTGCTTTTTTTGCTCATGTAAGCAAAATCCTATGAAATGTGATTAAAAAACCCAGTTCGAAACCCCCTGGTGGATTCCAATATTCACACGTGGCGAATCGTTGACGATTTCTCATGTCCACTCATGTAAATACAAAGTTGGCACAAAAGCATAGATCCCAGAATCTGTAGACTCAAGACAGGGAAAGTCAACTCTGCCCGTTTCAGCGCCAACGGGCAATAGGAAGACCCACCTAGGAAGTCATTTATGAGTTTATCACACTGGTGAAGGTATGGAAACTGTTATACTGGGACAATGCTCATTCCATTCTTCTTCTCCCACTCCCCCCCCCCATTTCTTCACTTCCTCCAGTTTTCTTGGCCAACCAACAGCATTCTGTGGCTAAGATGTCCCTGCCGTACACACACCCTCAAGTTTTGGGGATATTATTATTATTATTATTATTATTATTATTATTATTATTAGGGAGGTAATCCCCAGAGTATGCCAATACCTTCCTCTCCCATTTTTCAAAGACCATGTTTCTGTTGTCACCTGAGTTCGCTATGAGAAGGAAAGATTTCCTGAGCCTGGGAGCCCGTCTGCTTGCCTCTTCTCCTGCTGGCAGAAGGTTTTGTGTAAAGGCCACATCACAACACAAGAAACTTTTGCAACGGGGGTTTCCCTGAACTTACCATTGGCAGTGCATTGATGGGTGGAAGGTGTCCTGTTAGGAGCCTCCCGTCACAGGAAGATGGTACTGGAAAAGAAAAAAAGGGGGGGGAGGTTTACCATTTAAAAACAAAAAGGGATGTTAACACATCATAATACGACAGTGGATTGCTCAGGTGATTTTCTAAAGGGGAAAAGCCCGGAATTTCTAACCGCTGGATTTGTAGAGAGGGTGAGCTGTTGTCATGTTTCCAAGGAGGCAAAAGTTAGTTAATATATGTTAACACATTGAGAATAGATGCATTGCAAGATCAGAGATGGGGCTAAAAAGCAGCAATGTGGCAACACTTGGCCCACACACTGCTGCACTGGGGGATGGGGCGGGGGAAGGACAACAAAGGGGGGGATATTTAGCAGTGTCACAACTAAGTGACACTGCCTCCCCCAGTCCTGGAAAGCCCTGCTTGGCTCGCACTGCTTTGCAAAGGGCACCCACCACACCGGGTCCCTAAATTAGAACCCGCAAACCCCACAAGGCTCCCTCCGAATGCAAGATCTAATACCCCTTTTAGTAACAGCAACCCTGCTGCTTGATGCAGTTACTGCAAGTGCCTGGGGACCACCATTAAGATGAACAACCTACCCAAAACAACTTCCCGCAAGCGAGGCTGCAACCCTACCACGTGCGTGCATTTGTTGCAGCTAGGTCTTCGCACCAAGAGTATCCAAGGTGGCTTAATGTACCAATATAAAATGCAGCAAACGCAAAATGAAACAAAGCAGGAAACCCACAATGCTATCAGTATCAAAGTTAGCAATAGGGGGGGAAACCCAGACAGTTGTACAATTCCATCCCGCCAAAATCTCAAGAGAATAGGTCAGCTTTCAGCAGGCATCTGGAAGATATTTTAGGAGACGGCTGGGCGATGTGCTCCAGGACTGAGACAACATGAGAGAAGAGGCTTCTACCTAATGTCCGAAGAGCAGGGGGCTGTGGGGATATTCAGAACACGGCTTCCACTGATACACTTAATTCGCGGGCAGGCGCTGAATGCAAGGACTATTTAATATAGAGGGTGCTGGCTTAGTCAACATGTGCTTGACACAAAGAAAGCGATCCTTCTCAGACGGCCCACCACAGGTGCCACTGACCCCCCCCACAACAATGCCAGGGTCCAGCCGTCACCTTAAGGCATTTTCCTTGAGATACTAGTCTTGTTCCAGCATTTGCCTGGGCACAACACTCCTGCTGTAAAACCAGGAATGGAGGCAGGGAACTGGTATGCAAGTCCTACCCCCAATGTCCAACAGGCATATGGACAGCTCTTCACACCTCCTCATGATCAACAACAATAATATATTTGTACCCCGCCCATCTGTCTGGGCTTCCCCGGCCACTCTGGGCGGCTTCCAACAAAGATCAAAAATACATTAAAATGTATTTTAATGAGGGTGGTTTTAATTTTGAAGAGGGTGGTTTGGGAAACCCAGCCAGATGTGTGAGTAGTTGTTGCTGCTGCTGCTGTTGTTACTGCTTTTTTACAGGAGAATTTCCCAGCGTGTTCAACTGAATAAGCTCTTTAGCACAAATATATGATTGTGCGACGGTCTAAAGTGTTGTCTGTGTAACAGGGGCATTGTGGCGAGGGCCCGGGTGCGCCCCCTTCCATGTTTTTCATTTGGGTATCAGTTAGGAGAAAAAGTACGTAGCGTGCAAGGTTAGCGATGGCAGCAGCGTTGGAAAAGGAGTAAATTAGGCATCCATGTGACATTGCTTAAAACATTGTTGTTGTTGTTATATTATTATAATTGCTGTTGTTGTTATTATTAATAATAATAATAATAATAATAACAACAACAACAATAATTTTATACCCACCTAATAATAATAATAATAATAATAATAATAATAATAATATACCATGCCCATCTGGCTGGGCTTCCCCAGCCACTCTGGGCGGCTCCCAATAAAATATTAAAAACACAATACATCAAACATTACAAACTTCCCTAAACAGTTAAATTAGTTAAGCCAATCAAGGTAAATGGGCTTATTTCCCCCTCATTTTGCAAAATAAGCTATTTTCTATTTTACATGTTTCTCTGTTTGAGTGGAAAGGGGACAACACAGAGACTCAAACCCTGTGAAGTAATTTCGTTGTCCCCGAGAGGGGGCAATGACAATAAAGATATTGATATTATTATTATTATTATTATTATTATTATTATTATTATTATGGGTTGCATCCAACATTAGCCATATTCATAGCAGACCCACTGAAAAGAATGAATGTGCCCATTAATTCCAATGGGTGGCCCAAAACATAGGTAAAGGCTACACAACACCCCATCAGTGACTCCCATCAGCAGATGTCACGCAGCACAAAATCAGAAGTGGGTGAGGAGGTAACGAGGCAGGATTGGGGCCTAGGGACACCATAGTGCAGGAATGGGTGAATCACTGGCCCTCTGGATCGGTTATCATGGATGGGGCTCCTGGGAGGTGGGAGTCCAGCAACAGCTGAATGGTCACACCCCTGCCACATAAAATGTGCACACTTTCCAAGGGTCTTTCCCAATGTTCTTGTGTCCTTCAGGCTGCTACGCACCCTGAACGAGGCCTTGGGAACCTGGTCCCAAACAGCAGTGTTAAGTTGCAATGAAGCATTTATGAAAGCCATCACGGGGATGGAGGAAGAAACAGGTTGTTCACGCCCACCCATGACCACCAGCAACGCAAGTGTGCCGAGAGCAGACCAAAGCAAAACTCCCTGCTTCCAATCCCAGGCGACTGTCCCCCCCCCCCAATAGAACAGGCCAGGGAGGCAAGCCAAGAGGCTCCCTCTCATTTTCCTTGCTGTGTATTCAAGGCTTTGCGACACATGAAGACTGACCTACATTCAAAACCAGCATAAATGTAACCCAGATGTTTGGAACCATGAGCATGAAGATCTCTACCCCTCCCTAAAACTGGAAAGGAAGAAAAAGAATGGCAGGAGGGCGGGTAGCAGGGTGAATATATGCAAACAATTCCTAGAATCAAAAGGCATTCGCAAGGACTGGGAGGCGACACTTTAGAGCAGGGACAGGGGTTGCGGAACTACAACTCCCATCATCCCTGACTATCAGTCGTTAGGTAGTTTTCCCCCCAGCTAGGTGGCAATTAAAGACATGCCTATTCCCCCAGAATTTCTGTGCATCATGTAGACCGGTGTTTCCCAAACCTGGGTCTCCAGCTGTTTTGGGACTACAATTCCCATAAAACCCTGCTGTAGACTAAAGGGCCTTACTAGCCTAGGGAGTCACTGCTGGTTTTTTGCTGTTAGCTTAGCTGTTATAACGGACAGCATTTAATTATCATTCTTGCATTATGTGTCAACGCAGTACATGAATTCTGTGTGCTGCCTTGTGCTCCGCGAGAGAAAGGGCAGCATATATAAATATAACCACCGCCAGCATCAACATCTGTAGCGCCACAAGGTCCCTCGTCCCTGCTCTGCAGGCTCACGCTGTTGCGGAAGCCAACCTTCCCAGGACTTTCTCCAAGCTCAAAGCAAAATTCCTCGCACACACCGGCCTCAAGAGCATGACCCTGGTGTGAAGAGTCCCTTTTGCAAATAGGGACGGGGTGGGGATGGGAAGGTGATCTCTCTGCCAACAAACTGTAGTCACCTACTGCAGGTGGCCTTCGACATCCTACATTTCTTGCCATCAACAGATCGTTCTGCCCTGCAATCATGGGTTAAGTAAGGGGTGGGGGGTGGCAGTAGAAAGCCTGCACTGAAAGACCCACCAAGGAAATGGCTTTCCCTTTTGTCATGGTTAGGCTGGCCTGGCCAGCAATTGCCCCAGTCCTGAACAGAGTTTGGATCTGGCACACTTTACGCTGGCTTAACTTAAAAAAGGTAAAGGACCCCCAGCAGTTAAGTCCAGTCGCGAACGACTCTGAGGTTGCGGAGCTCATCTCGCTTTACTGGCCGAGGAGCCGACGTTTGTCTGCGGACAGTTTTTCCAAATCATGTGGCTAGCATGACTAAGCCGATTCTGGTGATACCAGAGCAATGAATGGAAACGCCGTTTACCTTCCTGCCGGAGCGGTACCTATTTATCTACTTGCACTTTGACGTGCTCTCAAACTGCTAGGTTGGCAGGAGCTGGGACCCAGCAACGGGAGCTCACCCTGTTGCGGGGATTTGAACCGCCGACTTTCCGATCGGCAAGCCCTAGGCTCAGTGGTTTAGACCACAGCGCCACCCGCGTCCCACTTGGCTTAACTTAAGACAGTAGAACTTATGCTGGCTTCACATGCCTAAGATCGCCTCCTTGGACTGAAAACCTTACTGTGCCTTACTCAGAAGCCAGTCCATTGAATCCAGCATGGTTTGCTCCTGGGTAAATAAGAGTTAGCATTGCAACCTTAATCTGCTGTTGCTGGACAAGATCCTTTGGACTCCCACCCCATCCGTTTCCTGTAGCTCAACGCTGGAGAGTCAAACCATTTGACTCAAACGGTTCTACCCAGAAATCTGGAACTCTGATTGCTGCCGTTTGGACTGAGCTTTCTTTATATCTTAGCCCAAGGGCAGGCAAACTAAGGCCCAGGGGCCAGATCGGGCCCATTCGCCTTCTCAATCCGGCCTGCGGACGGTCGGGAATCAGCGTGTTTTTACATGAGTAGAATGTGCCTTTTTATTTAAAATGCATCTCTGGGTTATTTGTGGGGCATAGGAATTCGTTCATTTATTTATTTTTTTCAAAATATAGTCCGGCCCACCACAAGGTCGGAGGGACAGTGGACCGGCCCCCTGCTGAAAAAGTTTGCTGACCCCTGTCTAAGCCCCTCCTTTTGTTATTGTCTTCCTCCCCCATCCAATTCTAACGTTTGACGCTGGTTTATTATAGAATGCAACCATTGGTGCTGAATCTTCCGAGAACAGCGAAAGTAATACACAAAGGCAGGCAGGCAATAAGAAATTACGCTACACATTAGCATTACTCGCTGACTTCACCTGTTTAATCTTTACGACTGCAAATTAATGTCTGTGATTTCCCCGAGGCAATCGGAACTTGAAAACTAAAAATGCAACT